TTTTTTTTGACAATTGTTTTGAATGAATTTTTTTTATAATTAAGCGAAGTTGGCTAAAAGATTTTAGGATTGATTTATCAAAAACAATCGTGTGTTTATTATCAAACTCAGAATTCTTTTTAACTAATAAAAATTCAAAATAATTTACAAAAAAATATGGTTTTTCAATTATTAAACTTCCCATATCATTATTCTCTGATAAATAATACAAAAAAGTCAATGGGTTATTTAACATTTTCAAACTTATTTCCAATTTTGATTATAAAAATTTATTATATCGAAAAATATATTTCGCCATCACTTTTTTTTAAATAAAATGAATTGGATAATTAAAAAAACTTATGAACCAGTAAAAAAAAACTTAATTCAAAGAAACAAAAAAATCTTTGATTTTTATTTACCTTTAAATATATCACTCAAAAAAATAAAAAATCTAATAAGCCTTTCTTTTCCCGGATATCCTGAACCTAATAATATAATTGTAACATCGCCCTCGTATGATAATATTCCTGAAATTGTAAATAAAGAAAAAAGAGTTTTGTGCGATTATTTGGAAATTAAGGTTTTATCTGATAATACTGAAGTTTGTTTTTCAAAAAAAGAGAAATTATTTGGATTCAAGAAAAAAAAAGAACAGTTTTTACTTAAAGAAAGAAAAAAAATAATAAAATTTTTTAAAAAAAATAATAAAAATTCCAACCCCTATACGCTATACACATTTGAAGAATTTATGAAAAGTAGTTTTGATATACAAAAAAAAAAATACTCAGAAAAAAAACACGTAATTTATTTATTGAATTTATGTAACAAATTTAGACAATTTTTGACCTATTTTTTTAAATATAAAGAAAATCATAAAAATAATAAAATGATATTCATCGGAATTTTAATTATTTCCATAATAATAAGCAAAAAACACTCAAAATCCTTCTTATTGATTCTTTGGAATTATTTTTTTGTATCAAATTTTTTCAAAATTTGTAATTACATTAAAAATAAAATTATTGAATATTTCGGGATGAAAAAAATAAATAATTCAGGAACATATCCATGTATATTTCTTACCGAACTATTGAATATACAAATTTTTTTGGCCGGTGTAATTCGATCGAGCAATCTTTTCGCAATTTAATGGATATAATGGGAATCGAACCCAGAACTTCCCGCATGCTAAGCGGACACTCTGCCAATTGAGCTATATACCCTTTTTAATGTATTAAAATTTTTATATTATTATTTAACAAACAATTAAATGGTAAAAAATTCGATTCAAAAGAAATATATAGTAGACAAACTAAGAACCTGGCTAAAAATTTTTCAGTGCTTTGTGTCAAAATTTGCTTTTTTTTTCTCCTAAAAAATATGTAAGGGTATTCGAATATTTTAAAAAAACAGGGCCAATTCAATCTTTGAATTTTATTAAGTTTTTTAAAAAAATAAATTTCTTTTTCTTGCCTTTTTAAGATAAGTTCATTTAAATTATGATAAATAATCTTTCTCGAGAAATTCAGATCTGACGAAAAACAACTTGATAATTTATCCTTTTTTTGTCTCTGAGAAAAATTGTTTTGAAAATTGCCATTTTTTTCACTATCTAAAACCCATTCATTATTGTTTTCCTTAAAGGAAGCTTGATTTAAAAGTTTTGGGATTTTCTCAGAATGTTTAATTTTTCTCTTAAGAACCCATAAAAAAATTCCTCTTAAATATTTGGGTTGTTTTTCTTGACTTCTATTTTTTTTTCTTCTAAAAATCCAAAAAATTTTGTTTTTGTTTGAAAACGATAAATTTCTTAGGAATTCTTCTATTTTATAAAGTATTTTTATTTTTTTTAAAACTTTTTTTTCTGTTTTTTTTGATTTTACTGTAATATCTTTCAAAAAATTAAAAAATTTCGTATCAGCATTATTTGATAAAATGCTTGAAATATATGCGTTTTTTTCACTAAATTCATCAAATATCATATGTTTTTTCCAAAAAAATTTTTCTTTTTTTGTTAAAGCAACAGTTTTATTCATTGTACATATTTTAAGATTCCAAAGTTCAGAATAAAACATATTTAACAATCCAAATGTTTGGAAAATTTTTTCTATTTCATGATTTTTAAATAAAATTCCTTCCCTAGTAATAATTATTTGTATTTCAAATTTAAACCTTACATTAAGATTAATTTTTTTGGATCTTTCAATTTTTAAAAGGGCTATTTTTTTTGTAAAGAATTTTTCAAAATCAATAGATTTTTTGGAAGCATCGTGGTAGTTAGAATTAGAGTCTTTCAAAGATATTTCATTTTTTATATTTCTTGAGTTAAATTTCCAAAATTTTAAAACAAAATATCTTTGATGCTTAAATAGAAATTTTGTTTTTTGTAAAGATTGAACCTCTGCCCCACTTTTTTTTT